TGTATAACAAAGGCAGATAATAAATAGAGAAGTATGAAGCGTGAATGGCAATTCATTTATTGGCTTACAGTTGATGCACTGATTCTTTTGCCTAGACAGCTCTTTCATCAGAAGTCCAAGTACTTGCTTCTAGAAAGTCCTGAGTGTGAAAATATGGCACTGCTCCCTTTCCAGTAATTTATGCTTTCTCAGTGTTAATGCTCTTTGTGAGCTCCAGGAAATTCTTTAAACAAAGGAATGAGACCCTTCATCACATCCAGAATATTTGCATTTCTTTCTTGCCATTCCCAATAACCTTTTCACAGGAAAAGTTTGCATATACTGGAGCAGCATATTTTTAAGACTTCCCTGAAACAAATGTTTGCTCTTAATTACAGTTTTAATATGGGGTGCGCCACTTAAAGAAGCCCATAGCATGAAAATGTGCACTTGGGAAATAATAAATTACATCAATGCCTAACACCTGGTTTCCTGATAGCCTGTACACAGTATGGATAAACAAATGCAGGATAGCCACCACCACGTAAGCAGAAGCATAAAATGAGTAATTAGACCATATTAACAGATCAAATCCAACTGGAAGCAACAGAAGGAACAGCTTTGGCTTTTTCACTGTGGATTTCATTTCAAAACCCAACAGCAAGTAAGATGGGTCTCTCTCCCGAGAGCTCTATCATTAGGGAATAGCACAAATACCTGTAAATTCAGTTTTAGAATTTTACCTATTGAATTTATTACATTAGCTTTGAGAATTGTAAGGATTTTTATAATTTTGATTTTTCAATAATTCATGATCTTGTGCAAAAGTGATAATGGACAAAGAAAAAAAGATAGAATATTGTCTTTCACCAAGATAACTATTATTATCTGGTTGTAATATTTCAGAATTTCCAATGAATAATGTAAGTATGTATTTTAACTAAAATGGACTCAGAATTTACTTGCTGTTTGTAAACTGTGTTTTTTCATTTGATTGGTAACATTTTTCATATCTCTATCTATCTATCGATTGATCTATCTCTCCAAATGTTCTATGGGGTTCATATAAAATTCTGGGGCTTTTAAGGCCCTCCACTTAAAATTACACACAAAATTTGTGAGTTTATGTGTACATATGTACTTTCTCTGAAAAACTCCCAATATAGTTGGGTTTACTTAAATTTAATCGACAGGAATCAATGAAAAGAAGTGGTCCTACATCTTTCCATTCAGGAGCATGGTAAGTCTCCCAGTGTGCTCTTGTCCTCTGCTCTTCTCTAAGTTTGTACTTTATATGTCCTGCTTGTGGGTTTTAACAATTTAATTGTCATTTTCTTTAATATTTAATTTATTAAGATTTATTATTTTTATTATTATTTTATTGCTTCTTAGAATCTGTCTTTACCTTGTAAACTCATCTTCAATTTTATATAGAGACCCAATTATAATGAATGATTCCATTTACATAAATTTGCTTTAGATTCAATATTACTGAACATGCTTCCAAACAGCTATGTACTTATTTTTCATATGACAGAAAAAATGAATTTGTTTCAAATAGAAACATACCCAAAGATTTAATTTGCATTTTACATAAAAATCTTTTTAAGTTGTTTTTAAAACTTTTACAAGCTTACCTGTTCTAATGTATATAGTTGTGCATTTTAAAAATATAAACGAAGGCTGTTACTTAAAAGTTTCTTGTGAGCTAGAATTCCACTTCAGACCTCCTTCAGAGAACATTTCCTAGAATATATGCTTTATGATCCAACTACAGAGAAGTTTATTTCCAAAGAAAAAGCAAGAAGGAAGAATTGGTTAACTATTGGCTTCCAGTTTTAATATCTAGAAATTTCTACTAGAAATTCTAGTTTTAATGTCTAGATTTCTACTAGAAATTCTGTGGACACTGGAAACCATAAAGTGCTTTCATGGCAGAGAAACCAGAGCTTATGGTGGTTTTCAGAATTCTGCTAAATATTCAGGGAAAATACAAGTAGATAGGTAAACATTATTATTTTTGAAGTCTCGTTAGGTGGAGATTATAGATCCAAGCCCCCTCATGGATTACAAAGTAAAATAGCAATGATGAATATGTTGCCTCAATATCTATCAGGAAAGGAACAGTAACAATCTCCATAATATGGACTATTACAGAGCCATTAAAAATGAAATTGCACTACTGAATGCATATTGATGTGGAAGATTACCTGCGGTAAATTCTTTAGAAAAAATTATGGTACAGAAAATTATTCAGAATGCAATCTTGGTTTTATAAAACAAATACAATCTGTGAATGCTTATGTTAGACTAGTATATACTTCTTTAAGAACCAGATGAATACATTTCAGTTGTTTAACAGTAGATTTTCCTAATGTGTTGAGAGTAAGTAAAGAAACCTGGAGTGGTAGGCAGGGAGTAGGGAAAGGAGTTTTTACTTTTTAATTCATTCACATCTGTATTATTTGTAATTTTTCAAAATTTGTATTTTAATAATATACAAAAATTGTCTTTGTATCAAAATTAAATCTCTCTGTGTATCTGGTGGCTTGAAAAAAAGCCAATCAGCACACGACAAAGGTCTGTCCACTTGAGGAAACTCTTAAGAATTACAGTATAAATTGTCTCAGACTTGCAAATGTCAGCTGTCCATGTTACAGATTACAGAAAGAGATTAAAACAAAGCCCAAAGCTGCTCTGTGATAGAAATCATTGAATCTTGTCTGAGTGAGCTGAGAACAGTGGAAGGGAAATGTGTGCAGTTTTTAAAGTTGCTGAAAGAATGCAAATGTTTCCATCATAATGTAGAAAGATAGGGGCTTGGCTGCATTGTGAGACCTGACATTGTCTACAGCCATACCACCTGAACACGCCCGATCTCATCTGATCTCAGAAGCTAAGCATGGGTTGGGCCTGGTTAGTACTTGGATGGGAGACCTGACATCTTAGATAAAAGATTGCCATCCTTCCACCTTCTTTATTAAGGGTCCCAACTCAACACTGATAGGAATGATTCCATGAAAATGAATCCATTAATTATGAACATAACTGCATTGAAAACCTAATGTTGGAGGGAGGAGAACACAAAGAACCAAGAATTGCCTTGTGATATTTATTAAGTACTGGAAGTTGGTATGGAGGTGAGAGATACATGCACATTCTAAAATGTAGTGCAGACACATAACGCTACAAACTAACTTAAAACATCAGGACAAGAATGGGTGAATGGTCCCTCAGGACAGGTATTTTGCTTTCTGTTTCAATTTTGTTTTAGAATAAGAAAACATGAAAATCATGTAGGCAGAGAAGAAAAGAATGAGTGCAGAAAGTTGATGAAGAAGGAAGAAAGAGAAGGGAGATAATTGACCAGGAAAGTCCTGGAAAGCAGGGAGAGCCCACAGGAGAAGTTAGCCTTAAGAAGGAAGAAAGAATAACATCCAAATTATGTAGAAGAAGGAAGAGGGCCTGAGTAGTGAGTTAAGGCCATTCTGTGGTGAGGGCAAAGGATTCTAAAGGAGTCTTGTAGCAACTTGACTTTCTCAGCCTGGTGAAAAAACACCTCTTGATGGGAAGTGGAAGAGTAGACTTAAGGGTGACATGGGGGTTTACAGAAAGATTGGAAGAGCCACTGTAGTCATTACAAATCAACCAGGAATGGCTGAAAGAGTTCAAGGACCACCACTGAGGTGCCAGCTGAGGCTGAGTAGCATGAATTTTTAATGAAACTAATAAAAACCATTTTTCATTACTTTCTCCAGCAATATGGCAGCCAGGCACAGAGGCAAAGAAAATTCAGCTTAGCTAGAATGGATGGATTATATAAAAATCAAAATCATTTTTTATATTGAAAACTACATATAAAAATTCCTTGGAAATTAGTCAAATAATTGAATCATTATGAATTTCAATTTAATCAACATTTTTCTCCTTCATTTTATATAGTTAAAACAGATATCTGGATTTCTTTGAAGAAGTGGGACAATATCTGTACTTCAAATGTTTAACAACCAAGTAGTGCCATCAGAATTTCTAAAGTTTCAAGCTCATCTTACTTCTATGCATTATGTATTTTTAGGCTGGAAAAACTAATAAATCCTTTTTGGAAGACCAGGATCCAGAGGGTAGACTAGAGGTTGGCGCTGATCTGCGTAAAATTCATCACTGTTTTCATCATTTAAAGGTAAATTTAAATGTTCCCTCCAGTAGAAGTCATTTCCTGTCATGTTCAAACATCAATAAAACTTTTCTAGTTGGCCAAGCCTTGACAAATTAGGACCCAACTTCGTATGTCCAGAAAACAACTTTGAGCCAATGCTATGATTATCAATGAGTTTCTTCAGACATTATACTCACATGCCAAAAACCCAACTCAGTCCATGGACTTCTCATTCTTTTGCCAAGAATCTCTACTTCTACCTCAGAAGAGTTCTGTGTTTTAAAAGCCCATTTTTTTCAAAATGATATAACTAGAATTGTGTTTTTCATTTTCCCCAACATTTTAATGTATCCAGATAATTGATCAGTTTTTCTCTGTCAGGTTTTAACTTTCATGATGAGGAAGTGGGAATATCATTAACTGTTACTTCTGCTTCCTTATGTGTTTACATACTCCATGAAGATAATGAAAATTTGTTGTGAGTCTGCTATGGGCCAGGTATAGGATAGGCACAAGTTGTAAAAGTGAGCCATGGAGAAGACAGATAAGTAAAGAATAATTTCAGTGCATGACAAGTGCTGTAATAAAAGTATGAATTAAGTGCTATGAGGTTATGGAGAAAGGGGAATAGAATGCAAGAGGAGATAATGTTTGAGTAGGAATTTCCAATTTAGGGAAGGAAAGATAAGATAGGAGAGATGGAATGAGGAAGACAGGTAGAAGGGGGTAGAGACTATGAAAGATGAGGAGGCAGGGTAAGACATGCTTACCCAATATGTGGAAGGAAAAGAGTCAAAGGAATAAAGAAACTTGGACTAGAGTTATGGCCACTCAGCTCTTATTTCATCTTACAGAAGCTACTGAATGAACAAGAAGATCCCAGAGAAGAGTCCAGTCTCCTCTGAAATCAAGACCAAGAGTGCCAAGAATCTCTAAAAGAGGAAGAATATAAAAAGTTACGGGACCTTCTAAAGCAGAGAGACAATGAAATCAGTATCCTTTCTGAAGTGATAAGGCATTCTCCCCCTCCTAGTGAAAGGGGGTGGGAACACTTAAGAGATCATCCCCTGCCATCTCTCAGTACCCACCTGTTTCCCATTCCAGTGAGAAATAAATTGTCCCTGAGCAAACAAAGTCCAGCAAGTCACAAAAGCGGAGTCACTGTAAAGGAAAATGTTTTGCTTTATTTTTAGTGTGGTATAGTTACTCTTGCAGAGAGCATTTCAGTTCATGAAAAAGGATAAGCTGTTGTACAACCATCTCTTAAATATTAAATTTTATACAGTATATTTTTTGACTACAATATGGTCACTTTCTGTTTCAGTCCTAAGCAGTTAGTGAACTGGTTATCTTTAGCTAGCTGACTGGACACCAGGCTGACCACTAGCCTCATCATGGCCCAGAATTTGTGGCTGGTGTGTGGGTGAAACTCAAATGATGGCTGAAAATATGGCAAATGGTATTTAGCTTATGAAGATCAGAGATTGATTTAAATGTAACTTTTTATTTAAAAGCCAGATCTGCTGCTCTGGTTCCATTTACAAATGTTCCAGTTTTGGAAGTGAGCATAGATGAATGTTTAAGATAGAATTCTTCCTGGCTCCAGAAGCAGTGTATTTTGGGTGCTGAACGTGGTAGCAGCTCATGGAGCATGTGCTGTCTCCAGTTACAGACAAGGTGGTCACTTCTAAAGAGCCCCTTTAGAGGGGCTGTTGGACCTCAGGACTCCCCCGCATTTCTTCAGAGCTGCTTCCCATTTTAACCTTTCAAGCTTCTTATAAAAGATTTGACATTTTCATGACATTTGTAGGCATTTAAATAAACACAAGAAATCATTTTGGTTTATTTCTTATAAACAGACATTTTTTTTCTTGTTTTAAAAAAATTACTTAAAAGATATTTTAGCTTCAGCTATTGTGCAAAATGCATAAAAATAGTCTGCACAAAGGAATCCCATAATAAAGAGATAAAAAAAATCAAATACAAAGTAGGCATGCTGGCCTGATTAACTTCAGTCTCTAATTTTAGTTGAGTACTAGCAGACCCTGTATGTCAGATTCAAGTAAGTTTTGGCTGCTTTCTTTCCAGCCAGTAACAGTAGGTTCAACTGTGAATTACACCCACACACAGCCTTGTCTATGAGTGCTGCCCGCAAGTGTTGTCACCCTTGCATTCCTTTTTCTCTCTTTACCCCATCTATCTCCAGGGATGGCCAGCTTGGACCTCAGTCTTGGCCCCAGCCCAGTCTGGGCTCTGCGTTCTTTTCCTGGCCTTGATCCTTGTCTAGGATCTTCTCCCCTAAATACTCCTACAACTTCTTAATCTCTTTCATGGCTTATGAATGTCTGTGCAAATAGGAGGGATGACAAGATATGACAGAGAGGGAACAGTCCAAGCTTGTTCATATATGTTTATTTAAAAATGAGAGTGAAAAGAGAGGCATACATCATTTCCTGTCTTCACTGCAGGGACTCTGGGTACCGCCATTCATGGTGGGGCTTACACCAGATTCTTTACTGACTGTGAATAATTCAAACAAGGTTCTTTCCATCTGAGATCCTATTCAAAAGGATTTGTGTATAAAGAGTTACAGACAGAAAGCATACTGAACTGAATCCATACCTGGCTTGAGATCCTAGCTCTTCACTTATTAGCTTTAATAGCCACTGCAGTGAGGCTGCCTGCTACCCTACAGGAGCATAAGACCTGCGCTGCCAAGCCAACTGTGCTGACAGACAGAAGTGAGCATAGACAGTGAGCACTAAGAGAGGAATATAATAGCAGCTTGCCAGCGTACACAATAAGTAGCTGAGGAGAGGGGAAAATGCAGGTAAGAATTAATCGCTCAATAGCTTTTATGCCTTATCAAATGGTAATGTTCAAGAAAGACTCTTGAAATGTGCCAGCTACTACCGTCAGGTTGGAGGCTATTTTCAGATCTTTCTTTGTGAGCCAGAGGCTAACCTATGACAGGAAGAATGAGACAACTACTAATTCCAGGAAAGAAGTAATTATACTTAGCTCACAAAAGACAGTAATGTAACCAAAATGACGGGGAACAACATTGAGTGTTTTTGAAAAGGACTTAAAAATGGAGTCATCTCAGTGACCTCATCAGTTTGAATAAAATTCAGAGGCACCTTCAACAAATAGGTAACAGGACTATTCAACACCCAGCACAGAACATGGCATGAGGCTATGTTGCGTGAGAATGGTGGGGGCCAGCGGGTATTGAGAAAAAGGCAAGAAGGAAGGCAACAAAGAAGACAGGTTTAAATTGTGAATTTATGAAATGTAAATCAGGGCATCATTTGGTCTGATTAAAGTCTCAGAGGGGCTTCCCATTATACTTAGAATAATCCAAACTCCTTGCTCCAGTTACGAGGCCCTGCCATGATTCTGCCCAACAGCCCCTTGACTTTTCGTTTATGCTTTGTCCGCCATGTGTGTTTTGCCAGTCACAAAACACACATTATTATTATTGTCCTTCAAATATGGAAGCTTCTTCTCAGCCTTGACCACTATTGACATTTGGAGATGGGTAATTCTGCATTATGGCAGTTTCCTGTGCATTGTAAATGTAGGATATAGGGTGGTTTATCATTAGGAACCACTTGCCAAGCTCATTTCTCTTTAAAAAATTCATCATTTCCTCTAGCTCTGATGCTCTTCCTCTGCTGGTTCTTCTGTTATTCAGATTTCACTTAACATCACTCTTAAGAAAGCGCCTTTTAGTAGCCAGTGAAGGGTAACCACCCTTGCTCCAGTTCACGAGGCCCTCCATGATTCTGCCCACACCAGCCCCTCTGACCTTTTCGTTATGCTTTGTCCCCATGTGTGTTTTGCCAGTCACAAAACACACATTATTATTATTGTCCTTCAAATATGGAGCTTCTCAGCCTTGACACTATTGACATTTGGAGATGGGTAATTCTGCATTATGGCAGCTTTCCTGTGCATTGTATGTAGGATTATAGGGTGGTTATATTAGGAACCACTGCCAAGCTCATTTCTCTTTAAAAATTCATCATTTCCTCTACTCTGATGCTCTTCCTCTGCCTGGTTCTTCTTGTTATTCAGATTTCACTTAAACATCACTCTTAGAAAGGCCTTTTTAGTAGCCAGTGAAGGGTAACCACCTAAGCACTCTTGACCTTTTTAAAATTAGCTATCTGGCGCTGTCACTCTCTAAGGTGGTGTATTTACATGCACGTATATGTGTGCATGTGTGAAATCTATGTTTCCCAAGTAATACATATGCTTCATGAGAGCAAGAAACTAGCCCATCTTTTTCATTGCTCAATATCCATGCCTAAAACAGTGCCTGCCACATAGTTCAAGCTCCAACCACTATCACTGAGTAAAGGAAGGAATGGATACTGCCATTGGTGTGACGTTGGAAATCAGTCCCACAGAAAGAGAAGCAGAAGGGCTGGGCAGGACCCTGTTCTTTTCTGCCAACCTAAGGCCTAGACACTGAGACTGTAAACACCTCTAGTTTTCATTGGTTATTGTGAGGGAAAAACTGATTATGCTTTCTGAAATCACCAACAGGTTAGTGTTAGAGCAAAGAAGGAAGATGGAGATCAAAACTTCCATGTTTCTTGCTCAAGAACAAGTGTAATCTAGCTATCACTCCCCCACCTCCTCCTTAATGCTTTTTCCAGGGATGGTGAAGGCCATGAACTCATCTTATCATATGTGCAGTCAGAGTTCTGAAGTTCTCAAATGGGATTATATTCTTTCTTCCCAGTGTCTGAGGCAAAAAAATCTCTTACAATTCTAGGCACCTGGGGCCTAGAATGAACAGTAATGTTAGTAAAGAAGAATAGAATGCACTGACCATCAGTGTTCCTGGCATATCTCAATGGCCCCCAAAAGGTACATTTGATGTAAGATATCTATGCTAATAATACACTATTTTTCAGTTCCATTTGAGACCAAAAATTAGGGATTTTAACAAAAGTAACTTTTAACCTCCATCTAAATATACTCTTAAATAAGCATTGCTGGGGGGCGGGGGCGGGGGATGGGGAGGGATGTTTCTGGCTCCACATTTGTCACACATTGACCCCAGGGTTGATAGGGCCCATGTACCAGCTGGGTAGGTTTCACTGTCCTCTACCTCTGCTTTTCCTGCTGCCTCCTAGACAACCACATGCTCACCCAAAGCGGGGAATCTTCCCAGTTAAAAAACGTATTCACAGATACAGACATAGTTCCCCTATCTGCTATTTCTCAGTGTTCATTTTACTTTTTCTTAACCCTTTCATAAAAATGCTGAACTCAGAACATTTTCAAAACCTTTGCATTTGCTAGTTTGTGTGATGGTGCCATGGTGACAGACTAATAGCCTCCTATGGGTCTTCCTGTAGCCAGTCTTTACCATGTGTTAAGTCACAAACATTATTGGGAAATTAATTGTATTTGGAACATTTGAATTTGATCATTATTATCTAGCATGTCACTAAATCCTTAAGTCAAATTTTAGATATTCTGGTCAATATGCTGAAAAAGGAGAAGAAGAAAACCCAGGATGCTCTCCACTTACCTAGTGCGGATAGAAGTGAAATCAAACTCCCCCAGAGCTTACCCTTCCCACGTGGGAACCTGGGTGAAAAGACATTGCTATCCTCGGTCCCCATACAGGCCCAGGACTTCAGTACTTCCAGGAACAGATCCAGTTTGCTCCACAATAAAACAGGTTAGTTAAGTAAATTTCCAGTATTCTTAATTGTCTTTCATGGATTTCAGTATAGCATCCTTTACTTTTATTTGTCTTGGTTTCTCTTTTTTTTTTTTTTTGGAGGTACTGGGGATTAAAATCAGAGCTTCAAACTTGCGAGGCAGGCACACTGTCACTTGAGCCATCCTTTACTTTTAAATGTGCAAAGATGAAGGCTCTCACAATGTATTTTTAAAATTATTTTTCTATCAAATTTCTTAAATATCAGCTTCCCAAATTAATGACTTAACTAAAAAAAAATTATGAATAGTCACAGCATTCAGAGGTAGAACTAGATGAATTCAGGACAAGAACAGAAAAGTTTAGCTTGAGAGAAACATAAGAAAAAACTCTTTGACATAGAGAGAAAGAATAAGGTCAGATGTTACATTTATGATGTGATTTATTTCCAAATCCAAATGAATTATGTGCAGCAAAATAACTATAAATATTATCACAACCTTAAAGGTAAATACATTAACAAAACTTTGTCCTATCATAGGATTTCACAGGATTTCGATAGGTATGCCAGGTCCCTTGCTATAGAATCCACTAGAAATTCAGACTTGTTTGTGTACATTGTTCCTTATTGGACCAGCATGGCAGGATGTAGAGTCACATGACTGGTGCCTTGCTCTGGACTGAGGAGTCTGAAGTATGGGGTGTACTGGAACAAAGAGGTGAAAGTCTTCCCTTTTTACAACATAAGTTGACTTTTTCTGCTCAAATATTTGTTGGGATAGACATGCATGACTTTCTACATGATCTAGCCTGGGAATAATTTTTGAGTATTGTAAGGAGCACACTTTTTACTTAACAAAGACAACTTTGAAAATCATGGAGATATACTTTCTGATATATCACATTCCTGTATCTCTTCATTCTAAGTCTCCTTGTCTTAACTAGTTAGTTCTTCTACTACACAGTAGAATAAATTGAAAATCCCAGGAAAACAAAAGTGCAATTTTTACTGTTAATAAAAAAAACACTGATTTCTCTGTTATTCTTTCCTATACAGCATGAGTAAATTATATTATATATTATATTATATTATACTATGGACACCAGCTGGTTGGGCAAGAAGGAGGACATCTAGCTTGGTGAATTCTTCAATTTATCCACTCATTTATTCATCCCTTTTCAGTCAATATATATTTATTGAGCACATACTTTATTCTAGGCACAATGGCAATTAATATTACAGACAAAGCTTAAATAGCCATTGTATATGCTATGTGAGGAACTACACTAAGTTGTCTGCTTTAATTAACTCATTTAATCCTTATCCTATGAGATACATTCTGGTTTTACCCCCACATACCAGATAAGGACACACATAAACAAATACAACCTGTGACCTCGGAGCACTTATGCACTGACAGAGAAAAGGGCCATTGAACAATTGATTACAAAGATATATCTTGATATTACTCAGGGAGCACATTCCAGGAGCCCTACCCAAGTTAACACCAGAAAGATCCAAAAGGGAGTGAAGATAAAGTTTGGGTGGGAGGAATATTGCAAGCAGAGGAACTCAACTGCTGAAATTGCTTTCAAGACAATTGTGGTGGGAAGGAGCATTTTAGGAAGTAAAAAGGCCAGGCCTGGTGGCTTGTGGTATAGAGGTTTGGGAAGACAGGCTGGATTGGCAGAGGTCACTAAGACCACATGGCCAGTTCAAAGGCCATGCAGTAGACCAGACCAAAGACTGGAGTTGATGAGAGAAGCAGGGGAATCAGAAGCATTTAGGAAGTTAAGTGGCTAGGGCTTGATGGATCATAGGATGTGGAGGATAAGGGTGAAGTAAGGGACAGTGAGTGCCCCCACTGCCCCTATGATAACTAGCATTGTTAGCCAGCAACAACATAGCATTGACATGGCTGTTGGATCTCAGAAAATGAAACCCCATAATATAGAGAGTTAGTAGGCTTTCTGCTTTGAACTGAAGGATGCTGGAAGGACCTAAGGAGCAAATGCTTTTTCTGACCTTCCCCTGCTCTTTTTTTTCTCCTGCTTCCCTCTCCTCCCAGTCCTCCTCACACAAGGCAGGCCATAGAAACTAGAACCCCCTTCCCCCAGAACTAAGCATAAAACCTAGAAATATTACTCTACCCTACCATGTCTATGTAAGAGTTGGCCATAAACAGATTCTCTGACCTGCACATCTGATACTCATTCCAAAAGAAGTCCTGCCCTATACCTGAGAGGAAGGATTGTCACACAAAGATGCCAAGAAGAATCTGCACAGACAGACTTGCTGAGTTCCCACTATCTATTATATTATATCATCCCCCTTTTTCCCTGATCACACATGGCTGTCAACAAATGTAAGCAGACAAGTTCTCTTAGGTCTTTGGGTCTTCAAAGTCCCCCTTGTCACATAAAAGTTTGACTAAATAAATCTGCTATGCTTTTCTCTTGTTGGGCTGTCTTTTGTTATAGGGATGTCAGTCGTGGCCCTGATAATGGGTAAGAAAAGGTACCATACCTTTCTGCCCCTACACTGTTAAAACAAAAGGTCATATAACAATGTTAGAACTGCATAGCATGATGGAAGGAGCTCTGTTTTCTGGCCTTTTCCAAATACACACTATTGTTCCTGTGCAGAAACGGCCTCAGATATCACTGCCCAGTCCTTGCTGTGTTTGTGCCAGACCTTTTCTACTTTCTATTTCTATTGCTTCTTGTCCACATCATCTCCCATTTCATGATTCTTCCCCACAGCATCTCATAATCTCTCTCCTCCCTTATAATTAGTCAGCCTTTTCAATAACTCTTTTCTTCCCTTGATATTGCTATCAAGACAAACTATAGTTTTGTTTGGAGCATGAATTAAGTTTATTTGAATTGAAAATTGATGAAAAAATAACGGAAATTGTAAAATCCAAGTACAAATGAGGTAAAAGTTTTGGAGAAGAGCCTTGTATTTGAAAGGGTTTTTTTAGTTGTTTTAACTGTCCTTGGATATAGTTCTAGAAAAACTTTAAATAGGAGTAGGTTTGCAAATGTACTGACTATAGTCTAATCATTTGGGGAGGGATTGACGGGGGTTGACTTTATTTTGGGGCAAAACTACAAATAGGATGAAAATTGTTGTGGATTAATCAATGCTACCGAACAACAGGTAATGGAATAGTTGATTACAATGTTTAAGCTTCTAGGAGTCAATTAGACTTGTATTGCTGCAATGTTTTATATATAAGGAGTTTATGTAAACCAAAGTAAATACAAAAAAATTGATAGGCCTGTTTTGAAAGTTTTCCTGTCTCATGTATGTGTTGTCAGTTTCTGTTAACCACCTCTGGGGCTGTTTCTAATGCAGAAAATGAGCCCTAAAACTGTCTGCTCACAACAACCCTCCACTTCTATTCCCCCTCCCCCCCCCCCCCCCCGACTGTCTGCTTAGAATGAATCCCTTCAAATAGAAAATGAAACCGAATGTAGGGCTCACTGGAGAGCCCTGCAGAGTCATGGCCAAAGCAGCTGCCTTAGGCATAGGAAGGTCTAGGCTTTGGGGCTTTCTGTTGTTTGGGAAGTTAAGTCTGTTTTGGTTTTGTTGAAATAATGAGGGATTGTTCAGCTCCACAGTTTGAAAAGAGTCACATTGTTTTCTTTAAAATAGGAAGAGTTTTAAGGTTGGGTTGGTTTGGGGTTTTTATTTTGTTTTGTTATTTTCTGTTCTACTTTTTTCACTATGAGTTCCAAAATGTCACCTGGAAGCACTCAGTTTTCCAAAAGCCCCATAACTCACTGCATTCTTTAACTGTTTGAGGGGCTACTAGAACCAACTCATCACAGATGATGGCAGTAGCAATTTAAAAAGTGGGGAAGTAGTAGCTCAGTGGTAGAGCACTTGCCTCGTATGTATGAGACCCTGGGTTTGATTCCCAGCACCCCAAAAAGAAAAAAAAGTTAATTAAAAACCAAAGTGTAGCCTGAAGACTCCAAACATTCTTCTCTTACTATGAGAATTTGTTGAATCCCTGCTATTTGCATGGAAGGGTCCAGTGTACACATTGCAGGCTATACCAAGGTGAACTGAGAAATGGTCTCTGACTCAGGAGCCTACATTTAACTAGTGGGGGCTGGCTTTGTACCTAAACTGCATGAAATAAAATAACAAATGCTTTAAGCAGAAGTTGGAAGAAAGGTGAGAATTCAAAGGAACAGGGGAGACCTTCAATCAATATACAGAAGAAAGCATTAAAGACCTAGGATCAGGTCTCAGAGGACTGGTAGAATCTGGACATTCAAAGGTGGAAAAGAACACTCCAAAATACTCATTCCTGTCTTAAAGGATGATGCAAGCATTTGTATGTCTTTTTGTGAGAAATGCCTTCTCATATTCCTTGCCCATTTTAAAATCAGATTATTCATTGCGTTTATAGAACTGTTTAAATGTCGTATCCATTTTGGATATGAATTCCTCATCAGAAGTATCACTGACGAATTGCTTTTCCTAATACAGTCGGTGGTCTCTTCATTTTCACTGCTTCCTTTGTCATATGGAGCTTCTCATTTTGATATAATCCTATTTGTCTATTTTTCTGTTGTCTATACTGCAGGGTCAAATCCAAAAAAATCTTTGCCCAGTCTAATATCACATGGTATTTACCCATGTTTTATTATAGTAGTTTTATCATTCAATTGACTTTTGTTTATGGTATGACAGGGTCCAATTTCCTTCTTCTAGATATAAATATCTATTTTTCCAACATCATGTATTGAATAGATCATCCTTTCTCATTGTGTGTTCTTGACATCTTTGTCAAAAATCAATTCACTGGGGCTAGGCATGGGGTACATGCCTGTAATCCCAGCTACTTGGAGGCAGAGATCAGGAGGATTGCAGTCTGAAGCCAACCCAGGTAAAAACATAGTACTCTATATGAAAAATAAACTAAAACAAAAAGACTTGGAGTCATCACTCAAGTAGTAGAGGGCTTGCCTACCATGCATGAGGTCCTGAGCTCAAAATC